TCAGGATCCTGGGCACACATACACACACACACACACACACACGCCTGGCGTGAGTTTAAACCATCAGGTCCAGGACTCGAACTGCGGCCGACCACATGGGAGTTCAGCGACATAACCATTACGCTAACTGCTCATCCCTCCCCTGTCTTTTGAAATACCAAAATAACAAATGTAATTTAACTTTGTTTTGATGACTAAAAAAATCTCAAAACTATTTTATTATAACTACAGGAAAATTTATTATATTTCCATATTATATAAATTGCAAATATGAAAATATAATGGGGTTCAAGAATAGGCTCTATAATGAGAAACTGAAATGTATGACTATTGGGGTTGGAGGGGGCACAGCAGTAGTACAACTGGACTCACAAGAAAAAGGTCCTGGGTTTGCATCCTAGGACCTCCCTAGGCATGCTGAGCATGCATGTGTAGGTCCATCATCTGGCCTAGCTAAGACTAGGGTGGATCTCTGTTGGGAATACTTGACTGTGTCTCTGTCTCTCATGGAAGAACGAAATAAACTTTAAAAAAAAATGTGTGATGAGGGATAGATAACATACAGATTCCAAGCCTGTATTTCTCTACACAAAATGAGGATATGGGGACCAACAGGTGGCATAATGATTAAGGTATTAGACTCCCACACGAATGACCATAGTTTGAGTCCCGGACCTGGCAGCTTGAAAATCATGCCAGGCACATGCGCATATGTGCACAAAATCCCAGGAGGAGAATGGAGGCAAAGAGATTGTGGTGTGGTCATCCCCCTTGGAGAGGTGTGATTCCTTGTTTTTCCTCTCACCGCCTTTCTCTGTCTCTTTCCAGCAAGTATACGTGCCTTATGGCAAAAATCTTTAAAAAAAAAAAATGGGGCTATGTTCTGTGGATACATATCCTACACATATGGAATAATAATAACACTCTCATTTTAGACATGAAGAATCAATACCAGAAAGGTTAGGCCTAAGGAAAGACAGTGGAAAAAGCCACTTGACAGACCTTCAATTGCACTTAGTTACCTGGCTAGTGGTGTGGCTTGATTACCATGTAACCTCTCTGAGTACTGGTTTCCTTATCATAAAATGACAATCACATTGGTAACCCCTCTTATGGATGTAGTAACAATGAAATAAAATAACATAGTATAGTAAATAGCTATCTTAAAATGGCATTAAAAAGTTTAGTAAATTTGGTCCAGCTGCAGTGGTACAGTGGTAGCATGCTACTCTGCAATGCTGGCTGCACATGGAAGGCCAGAGTTTGGATCCCAGATCGACCTGAAACATGCTAGGTGTACATGCCTACATGCCCATGATCCTGGCTGGCTGGGAGGAGGTGGGCTGTTGCAGACTGCGGCATAAGACCCTGCCAAAGATGCCAGTTTTTACATCTTTCCCTCGCTCTCTCATGAAATAAAACAAAATTATAAATATTTTTAGTAAATTCATTAAATTTGAGTTTAATAATTTTCAGAATCATACCTGGTATTAAGAGTCATCTGCAGCTCTCTTTCTTTTACCTTCAAACTTTCTCTTTCCTGAACTATAACAGGCTTCTTCAGGTCACTCACAAGATTTTCTAACTTCAGTGAAGTGGTTTCAAACTCTTTCCAAAAAGCATTGGTTTCATTTTTTAAGCTCTAGATAAAACACATAATTTATCAACTAATGTATTAACAGGCACAATGATTCTATTCCTGCAAATGAGACACTTCCCAACTGTGGGGGCAAACATAATCCCCATGAAGATGGGTTTAAAACTTATGTTCAAACTATCTACAAGAAAACGATTCTTTAGGGGGAACAATGCAATTATGTCAAGGGAGGGGACAACATGGTTTTCAAAGATATCCAAACTCTTAACTCCAGAGGTAGAGACACAGAATACAATGCAGAAAAAGGAAAGAAGGAAGGACAGACAAACAAGAACAGATATTCTATTTACATAGCAAATCTTTGTTCTCTTCTAAACTTAAAATTGGAGTTCAGCTAACCTGGTAACCTAAGGGAGCTGGATTCCACATGGCCAAATGAACAGTTTGAATCTCAGCCCCCATGGCTTAGAAAACATGCTAGGTAAGCGTGCTCCAAATCTTAGCAAGACGCAGAAATGAAGAAGGGATCATGGTGTGACCACAACCCATTAGGGCAAGCTTACTGCCCTCTTCTCTCCCCCTCTCTTCTTCCTTCTCTTTCTCTCTGGTGAGTACACACATCCTTTAAATTTTAAAATTTAAAAAAGAAAGAAAATTGGAGTGAATCAAAACTGTTCTATACAAATAATAAGTAAATAAAAATAATGTATGGTTTATAATTAAATATCTAAAATGCTATACTATTCTAGTTTTTATCATGGTTCTTTTTTTTTTTTTTTTTTTTAAGGCACTGCTACAGAATCCTAGTAAGGAATCAGCAGGATAATCTGTCCTTCACTTTTCTCAAAGACTAGTATAGCTTTTCTCACCAACTCATTATTCAATCACTGGGGAGAAGTCTCAAGACAGTTTCTGAATCGTGATGAAAACGTGCTAAATTCACCACCTGAACAACAGGGATTTTAACAGATAAATTTTGCTTATTCAGAAGAAAATTAGAAAGGAGCCAGATGGTAAAATGTGACTGAGAATTGGCATAATTAAAATGAAAGATTTACGGGAGGACATTACCCCACCCAGGGCCCTCTTCCCCACCCATGAGGGTTCACTTGTAGGCACTCACGAGCATACAACATGAATGTTGCACTGCCATGCCCAGATTATCCTCAAAATACCAGACAGTTATCTGTAGAGCTTACAATTAGTATATCCATCACTAAAGATGGTATGTTTCTGTAGCTCATGAGCCAAATGCAAAACCTCCTCTGCAGGCTTTTCAGGAAGATGCTCCATCACTCTGAGTGAAAGCATCCTCCACTGACCACTCCTTATTGCCCAGCACCAAACAGTCAACAATGGGAGCACAGCTACTTCAAACAACGTGGCAATCGAGTCAGGAAGATGAACAGATGAACCAAACATTCAGAGTCACTGGGTCTTCACACATCATTAACTTGGAAACCCCACAAGAACACAATGAAATGGCCTTCAAACACATTGCTTTTGACCAGCTCATTTGAGATGCCAGCACAATCAAAAAACCCTACAAGTCACAATGTCTAGGGTAGCAGATTCATGTATAAGCAATCATTTAGGACCCTAAACCAGTGTCTCCTGTTTGCTACTAGAAAGAACTTTCTAGAATAGGGTGACATTAGAAACATCTACCATATATGACCTCCACAAAAAATGGTGATGTCTATACTTAGGGTGATAGTATTTTCTAATAAAAGAGAAAGACTATTTTTAGTGATTACCTGTAGCTCTGTCAGCTTATCCTGCAGACAAGCACTACCCCTGTCTTTTTCACTGGAAAAATCAGAAGTAATGCTGAATTCACTGTTTTGCAGGTGTAGTTCAAGAGCTTCTCTGTGTGTATTATACCTGGGAAAAAATGAAATGCAACTTTACTTTGTTTTAAAAATAAGACAAAAAATATTCTAAGATTATAGTTAACTGTACATGAGGAAATTCATGAAATTTATGTTTAAGTTACTGGACTACATGCAAAAATTATGACTACAGGACAATAAACCATTTTAAAGTATGACATGTTTGAACTGATGAATGATTTTAGTGAACTTTCCAGTTTGAAAAAAATTTACCTCTCTAGTAAACTATTTATAGAGGCACTGTGATCCTTTTCATGCTCTTCCATAATGCTTTCATCTTGTTGAAGCTTTAACCCTGATTCTGGGCTTAAATTCTTCATTGGTTCCATTGCCTAAGCAAATAACAAAATAGTCACTATAACCTTAAACATACTTAATTATCTAGAAAAGATTTTTAAAAAATAAAAACCTTATGCCCAAAAGTACGTCGCTGATGTTTTATACCCCAAATTAGAAGATAACACAATTTCTTTGAGACTTCCTAGGTCGGGAAAAAAGCCTTTCCATTGTTCAGGAGAGATTTATTAGACTGAGTCTCACCTTCTAATTGGTATGACAACACGGTGAAGGAACACTCAAGTCCCTACATGTAATTTCTGCTTGAGAGCACACAGCTGGAGTCTAAAGTAGACAGAAGGGCCAGATCGTGTGCAGAGGTAACACCAGTAGGCCCACTGGAAGGGCCCAGGGTCACTGTCTGGGGTCTTCTACACACATTGGCATGCCCATCATCCTGGCTGGCTGAGGCTAAAGGTGGACAGCAGCGTGAGGACTCTGCCAGGGCTACCTGACTCTCTCTCTTTCCTTCTCTCACTGTCTTTCTTTCTGATGGAAGAAATAAACAAAAAAATTATTTTAAGTAGACAGAAGGCTACCAGGAAGGGGCAGACCTCTGAAAACAAACACACCTTCCCACAAGTCTGACTGGCAGTCTGGGCTATGTATACTATGATATACAACTCACCTAGGCCTCAAGAACTTGAGAAATTCAATTTCCAGGGAAGGTGTAACTAACCCTTATCCACAGGGGAATACGTTCCAAAATACTCAATAGATTCCTGAAGCTGGATCATAGTAAACCCTGTATATACTACATTTATTCCTATACATACATACCTATGATAAAGGTTAAATAATAAACTAGGTACTATTAGAGATTAATAATAATAATAAAATATAAAAATAATAAAAACATACTCTAATAAAAGTTAGATGGGGGCCAGCTGGTGGCATGATGGTTAAGGCAGCTGGATCCCACATGGCAGTCTACATCCCAGACCTGGTGGCTTGAAAAAACAATGTGGGCATGTGTGTGTCCAAAGCCCCAAGAGGAAAATGGAGGAGAAAGGATTGTGGCATGACTATCTCCCTATGAGGTGCTTTCTCACTTTCCCTTTCTCTCTCCCTGTCTCAGGTGAGTGCACACACCCTGTGGCAAAAACCCTTAAAAAAAAAAGTTATGTGAATGTGATCGCTCACTCTCTCTGAAAATATATTCCTGCACTCTACTCATTCATTTTTTTTTTTTTTCAGAACCCCACAGGTAACTGAAACGGCAGGAAGTGAAACTGCAGACAAGAGAGGACTGCCATGTGCTGTAATGAGAGAAAGGCAAATGAGGATGAACTAATTCGTCTCTCTGAGACCGGGGCATCTGTGCAGATCAGTCTCTCCCGCTCTCAGCAGTAATGTACAGACACGTGTGTTCACAGTGGTTCAAAATGGTCTTTGTTTGAAAGAACGGTTTGTATCCTCAAAGGAAGATGAAGTTACGGCTCACTATAGCATCCGTTCATTCACTGCCTGCTAATTCTCAGAAAAGCAGTCTTTCTTGAATTATGTAACTGGGAACTCTCCGCTGACGACAACAATCCGATAATAAAAATCAACACTTAAAGAGGTGGTTTACTGTACATCTGGCCTTTGACACTGGGTTTACTTCTTATATACATCACCCACGTGTAACACCTTTTCAGCTAGTGACTGGTCATTTGCTTTGGCACATGGTACTTCATTATGGGACTCTCTTCCTCCATTCTCAGTGGTGGTCGTGGTCCCCCTAGAAAGGAATTAAAGTTGCATATTAGAGAAGTGAGGAAAATGAGACCCAAAAGAGGATGAATAATGTGTCAGTCATTCAATTTTGCAGAAGGCTTCATCTCGTTTTCTCTGAAGCGTGGTCATGCTGACAAAGCACTAACCCATTCTTTGAAACACCTCCCTTAGTGGGCTGCAGGGTCGCACGAATCTCAGATGCATTTCTCAGAAGTCTCTCGATCTTTTGTTCATACTCCTTGAGTGTTCTCTTCACTTCTTGTTGACTCTTCTGGGAAGTCAGCTCCTCACTCAGCTCCCTCAGGACAGCCATGTGGTGGTCAAGTTGGTACAGACTGCCCTCCTCAGAAAAACAAGCCTAGAGGAAGAAAGGAAGCAGAAAATGTGTGTCAGAGGACTGTACAGGAGTGTTCCACAGGGAGGAGAGACCAGCAGGTGTGTGTGACCTCAACAACGCACCCTTTACGGGCCACCCATGGTGTGTTCAAGGGTCAACTGTATATATTGGGTCATCGTTTTCTATGCAAAAATGCATCATGCCTTTTTCTATGACCCAACATTTTAAGAGACTGATATCGGGAAAGCCACAGCAATAAAAAGTTGAAAAGAAATGAAAAGAGGAGTCAGCACTGTCTAATACATAAAAGCCATCAAACAGGATGGGGACCAGAAAGAAGTCATTAGATTTGCCCCAATTGCTTTACAGACTCATTTGCCAGTTTTCACAAAGGCCCCACTTCTGAGGCCACCATGTTCTGACAAAAGCAACTCTGGGTACGCCAGCAACGGTCGACACATTTGTGACCAGAGTCTCAAGATAGGGGCCCCTGAGACATGTAAAGAGACATCATAAAATATTAATTCAATGCCGACTTTTCTCACTTCTAAAAAAAAGAAGCGTAGGCTTCAGTAAGAGTTTGAAACACACAAGTGTTAATCCCCAGGGACAAGAGGGCTGACCTAATTTTCAGAGCAGATTTAATCCTAGGTTAAGGACAAATGCAAACTTTTTTTTAAGCTTGTTTATTTCCTCCATGAACAAGAAAGAGAAACAGCACCCCCAACAGGGTCCTTTCCCCGTGAACTGCCCCCAGTTTCAACCAGCCCCAGGTCACAGACACACACATGCCCAACGTGTACTGAGAGGTCTCTGGATGCAAACCAGGAACTCTCCCATGTGGATGGCTTCCTGGTGCCTTATATTACCACTGTGCCCCCCTCCAGCCCAGCCAAACAAGATAAACTCCAAAATGATGACAAGATATAAGTGGAAACAGGCTATTGTACCTCATGTTCTTTGATGAGACCCTTGGTCCTTCCTCTACGAATAAGTTTCTTTTCTCTATTTATTTGCTTTTCAAGTTTTGCAATATTGTCACTAAGCTTTCCTTTTTCAATATCTATTTTCAGTTGTTGAATATACAGAGACAGCTCATGATGAACAGACTGCAAAAAAAACAAACATTAATGATGGAAACAACATATTGAAAAAGTGTTTGTAGTAACAATAGAAGTATGTGTAGTAACAAAGGACAGAAATAAAGCTTAAGTGATATTCTGATTCATCTATGTATCTTTGGGGAAAATGTTTTAAGACACTGAGACCCATAAGGATTGTTTTTTTCTTTCTAACAATTAAAAACGTGTTTTAGCTGTGAAGGACACTGTGAAAACACAGGCTACCAGCTGAGAGGAAATGTATGCAGAACACATATCTGAGACCACAGAGACATGACAAGTAAATGTAATGTGTATCCTGGAGGGAATCTTGAAACAGACAAAAAAGAACGTGGGGGAAACAGTAAACTATGAATAAAATACAAACTTTAATTACTGATCATGTGTCAATATCGGCTCTACATTGTGACAAAGGTTGCTTTTTTTTTTCTTTTCTTTTTTTTTCCCCTGCAGTGTGTATGTGCTCCAGAGAGACAGGAAGTAAGAAATCACCCTCCAGGGAGGATGGCCATGCTGCAGTCCCTTCTCTTCTATTCTCCTCTTAGGATTTTGGGCATGCATGCACATGTGCCTTGCATGAGTTTTTTAAGCTGCCAGTCTGGTATTCAAACCATGATCGACTATGTGGGAGTCTAGCAACACAACTATTACACCATCTACTGGTCCCCAAAGGTACTATTTTTATGTACAATGGTAATAATACAGTCTGGTCATGAGGTATCTGGAACTCTCTGTACCACCTTTGCAATAATTCTGTATATCCAAAACAGGAAATTTTATTTTATTAAATATTATATATATATACACATACACATACACATATAATATGTGTATATACACATATTTTATAT